CCCTTGACCAGTCTCGGTTGCCGGCTGCGGACGCAGTCTGCGGTCTCCGCATCCCGGGGCTCGCTGCCCTGCAGAGCCAGTTTGTTGGAAACTGAAAAATCGCCATGCATATTCGATGTTTTATTTTTACCCCTTAGATGTGCCCATTTTCCTCCATGAAGTGACGTTAAGAAGTTAATTCGGACTCTAATGCTTTAAACCTCAGTGGGCCTGGCTCCAAAGGGGAGAGTGAGGGAACACCTAGGACGTGACCTATTTCTTACGTAATGTGTGGGATTACCAGTTTTCACTCCTCTCCAACAGCTCGTGTTGATTTACCTTTAAGTATTACAAGTGCCTTTCACAGGCCCGCTTTCCGATGGGTGAGCTTTCTCCTGATTCTCGGGGGTCCGGTACCTCCCGGAGGCTGCGTTCGGAGGAGGCGAGCGTGGGTTTTCTAGGGCCTTGGTCAGGTCAGGGTGACGGATGCAGCCGAGGTTGTGCGTGTCGCGCGTGTCCGCGTGCCTGCCTGTGGTCGCACTCACCCCAGACGTGCCTTGTAAGAGTTAGTTATACCTATTAAGTGAGGAAATCAGAAAAGCTATTTTAGCAAAAGTGCCCCTTAGTGTGTTTTTGCTTTTCTAATTGGGGCTTTCTGTGCCCTTTCTGCTAGAAATGCTGTAAACGTAAGTGCACTGTTGATTCGCTCTTGATAACTTGACTCCTTCAAGTTCTTTCCATTTTACAAAACAAAGTGTGCGCTGCCGCAGGACTTCTCGGCAAGATTTCTCGGATGTCACTCACCTTTTTAAAGAAAAGTTCAGGTACCTTCTTTAGCCCAGGCCTCAGCCCTGAATTCAGCAACACCATACCCCACCCAGGCCACCAGGAGCCGTGGGTTTGGAATGGGCACGCTGAGATCCGAGGCCCCCTCTGCTGTCTCTGACCTTGAGCGAGCTACCCCGAATCGGTCCCTGCTGACATGAAGATCGTGCTCATTCTCCGAGGGTCGATGTGAGGACTTAAACAGTAGTGATTAACATTATGGTTAGTTTTATCAGTTGAGAATACTGCCCTGTACACCAAAAGCATCATAAGACGTGAGGAAACTATCAAAGCCCGACTTTTTATCTTTGTCAGTGTACCAAATAGTTATGGCTCCATTTCAGTTAATTCCTGTAATAAAGAATTTGAATTGCGGTACGGAGGAACTTCTCACAGTCTGCCGAAAGAGTGTCCCGCTACAGCAGTTCACCCTAAATGTCTGGAAGCTCACGGTCTCCCCCTGGAGCACCTGTGGTCATTGTGCAGGCCAGAGGCAACTTGTGTTAATCTCATGATGTCTCAGTGAACTTCATATTAACGTGTTTGTGCAAAGTTTTCTCTACTGACATTTTCTGGCAGCCTCCTTTTGGCGGCGCTGGGCCTGTGATAAGATTGCATTCTCACGTGGAATCCAGATGCTCCATCACAGCCATTTTCTTCTTTTTAGTTCGAAGGTGACACAGCACAGTTTTCATCCAGAATTTAGTGGAACACAGTCGTGGGAAACTTAGGGCGAAGGTTACCTTTTCTGTGCATGTGTACTTTGGAGGGTGTGTAAAGCCAGTGTTAATGTTTGCCTGCGGCAGAGATGTTAGGGAAATAGTCATATCTCACTTTTGCAGCAATTTTCCCCATACAGGTTCATGCACCTGATTTTATCTACAGATGAAACTTTAGACCTAGAATTATTATGGTATTTTTGAGAGGCCAGCATTTTTCCTTTCTACTGAATTGGGGTTTCTGTCCTTTTAGAGGTGCTATGTATAAATAAGAAGTACACCTTTAGTGTTCCAGTAATTTGGAGTTTTTTCCTAAGATGTGTCCTAACTGTTGTCTTAAATTAGAATTATTTCTACCTTGTTGCTGAAATTATTTTAGTATCATTGCCATTTCAAGATGAAAATGCAAGTAAAATTTAGTAGAGAAGAAAAATTCTTTCAGCATGCAAATATGTTAAAATAGAAGATCATGATAATTCAGTGTATTTAATTGCTTATAAAGACATAACTCTTAACTTATAATTGAAAGTTTGTTTTTCCTGTAAACTAAGGCAAAATGTGCAAGCATTACTCTAATTCTGGTGAATTTTGCTCATGTTGAGATTTCATTTTGTCAAGAGTAATCTCACATTTTTTCGCTTGCTTTAAACTTAGAGCAGCTTAGGTAAAAATAGCTGTTTCTAATTTATATATTTTTATATATATATATACATATATATATATATATATGTATATATGTATTTTTTTATGAAATCTGCCCTTTACAAAACCTTGACTTTGTCACACATCTGACTGATGTGGATGTCATTTTACCTCCTAACAACCTGTGACGCTGGTTGCACAGTGAGTGTACTTGGCCACTCCGTTAGCTTTGTTTCCAGAGCGTCTGTAGCAGAGTGCAGAAATGTGTGTCTCCCACTTCTTGAGCCAGAGAGGCTTGAAGTCGTAGACCAAGGTGTTAGCAGGGCCTGCCTCCTCTGAAAGCGCCGATAGTGTCTGCTCCATGCCTCATTTCTCACTCTGGAGCTTTACTGCCAGCCTCTGCCCTTTGTGGCGTTTGGACACATCGCTTCACTCCTGCCTCGGGATCCCATGGCAGTGTGCTTGTGTGTGGCCGTCCAGTTTCCCATGTTTGATAAGGACCCCAGTCATTTGAACCAGGGGCCGGACCTACTCTGGTGTGACCTCATTTTAACTTCAGGAATTATGTCTGCAGTGCCCTTATTTCCAAATAAAGTCTCAGACTGAGGTGCTGCAGTGTGGACACAGCATAGACATTTCGGGGGCACAGTTCAATCCTGACAGTCATTTTTAGCATAAAAGGATTCACCACAGTCTTCTGAAATACTGTATTTAAATCAACATTTAGAATGACAAGTTAGTCTGTAAATAATATAATAACTTTCTATTGTATTGAATGAAAGATAACTTTTTAAATGAATTTGGTAGAAATATTGCTATGGTCTAAATTGTCTCCACACCTGGTTTATACATGGAAACTTTATTGCGAAGGAGATATTAGGGTGAGGTGATTAAGTCCTGAGGACTCTGCCCTCAGGAAAGGCATTAGTGCTCTCACAAAGGTCTGAAGGGAGAAGCCTGGCTCCTTTCTGCCATGCGACGATCTCATAGCAAGACGCCTGCCACCTGTGAACAGAGCAAGCCTGCTCTCAACACAAAATCTATTGGTGCCTTGTTCTTGGGTCCTGAGGGTCCAGTCTGAAATAATGTCTTTTATTTGTAAATTATGCCGCCTAAAGCACTTTGTGATAGTAGCCGAAATTCAGACAGAAGTACGCTTAGGTTATCTTGACCATTTTCTATTTCTGTAACCAAGTACCTGAGCAGTTTATAGAGAGGTTGAATTTGGCTTGTAATTCTGCAGTCTGGGAAGTCATTCGGGTAGACTGCGTACTCTGGTATGGTCTTGTATGTGCTTACTATCACACTTAAGTATTCTAATTAAATTTGTTTTAACTAATTTCTTCATGCTTTCATGACATGTAAAATCCTGTATTTCTCATAGATCCTTTGCTCAGGAGGATGTTATATGAATCTGTTCATGTGTTGATTTGGTGAAACATTATATTTATGGAGATATTTAATTAGACATATCATTAGTTATGGCTTTACCTGCATCAAATTATCAGTGCCTTAATTGCTTGATTTGTGTAGTAAGGTCTCTGCTGCTTTAAAATCCTCAACAGAGCTCCTTGCTCGACACAGGCTTCCTACGGCCGGACCGTTTGTCAGTAGACTACGGGGGACCTGTAATTTTCTAAACTACATGCTATATTTTACATTTACTTTTTTTCTGATGCAGTGGGTCTGTACTCTCTCACCAGCTTGTTGGAGGAATTCCTAATACTTGGCCTCGCACCACGAAGCAGATGCAGTACAAGGCATTGACTGTACTGTCAGAGAGAAGTGTGTGTGTGTGTGTGTGTGTGTGCGTGCGTGTGCACGCGTGCTCATGTGTGTGCTACTAGGAATTGAACCCAGAGCCTTCAGGTTGAGCTACATCCCAGTCACCTTTACATTTTTAAAAATTTGTGAGACTGAGTCTCGCTAAGTTGGTGAATTGTTCAGACTTTTGATACTGCCTTGGCCTCTGGCGGGCTAGGCCCACAGGCACACACCACCAAGGCCACAGCCAGCCAGGATGGTTCCCGTAGCAACACAGCAGGCGTTCTGCGGCTGGGCTGGAGGCTGTCGGAGCAAAATGCAGCCTTCTCTGAACT